TTTATTTTGTGAAATGTTCCAAATATCAAAATTATGTCCCATTTCACCTGAATATGTATAACCCTTACAACTATTCTCCCCAAATCCTAACCACAGTATAACCCTCAGAATTAAGAAATTAATGTTAACAAACCCTACTTTCTTAGCCCCAACTATCATTCAAGTTTTGCTAGTTGTCCCATTTTTTATTTACTTTTTATTGAGTTTATTGTTACTTTTAAAGTACACAGTAGTTACATTCATCATTGGACTCTTATTTTCCCCATAGCCCTGCCCTCCCGTGTTATTTTTTACGAAGAGATTTAGTGCAGAATCATGTATCACATTTAGTGATTACTCTTTTCTGCCTTCTTTGAATTCTATGTTGCTTTGTATATGAATACTTCATTCTGTTCTATTGCTGATTATCATTCCACCATATGAAGATAACAGATTTATTCACTTGTTAATGTGAACTTGAATTGTTTTCAGTCTGAATAAAGCTGATATGAACATTTTTGTACCAATCTTTCTTTACAAATACAGTAGGTTCCCAACCTAAGAACATCCAAGTTGCAAAGTTTCACAACACAAACAGGCCTCACATTAGGAACACCTCAATGTGAACAGATCATGGGAGTAGCTCATGTCTGGCAGCCATTGTCACAGTTGTGCTGCTGTGTGCTTACTATACAGTGCAGTAGTGTACAGTATCTGTGTGTTTTTATGCTTTACATTGTATATTTGTGTCAAAGGTGTATGACTTACTTTGTCAGACTTATGGATGAAGCTGACTTACGAACATTCTCCTGGAATGGAACTCATTAAGTTGGGGACTTACTCTTGGATAAATACCTGGACCAAGAATGGCTAAGTTGTATAGTACATGTACATTATGTTTTTAAAAACTGTAAAATAGTTTTGCAAAATGGTTAAAAACATTTTATATTCTTATCATTATATGAAAATTCCAGTGGTTTTATATTCTTGACACTAGGTGTTCTGTTCTTAAAATTGTAGCAATTTTTCTTAGTGTATAGTGATATGTCATGTTTTAATTAGCATCTCTCTCATGATTAATGATGTTGAATATCTTTCCATGTGAGTACTAGTCATTATTTGATCATATTATTTTGTGAGATGTCTGCTCAAATATTTTACTCATATTTTATTGTTGCTGGCTTTTTATTGATGTAAGGGTTTTCACCAAGTTTTTAAAATCAGATATGTGTATTGTGGACATTATCTGGTGTTATGTATCTTGCATTCTACTAAAAAATTAGATTTGTCTTATTTGTAGTTGTTGGATGAGGGTGTTTTAGAAATATCATTTGACTGATTTTGTTGTTTCATTTAGGTCATTTGTAAGTACAGGTATGTTCTAGTTAACATCAATTACTAAGTAAAATGTATTCATATTTCTTACTATAATTGTACAATTCTTTCATCTCATTTTTTTGTTTTTTATATTCTGTAACTTTGTGATTGCATACATATACATCTATGACTCAATTAAAAATGTGCTTTCTCAGTTAATCCTTTGTTTTGAAGTGTATTGTAACTAATATTAATACAGCCACTCAAACTTTTTGTTTCCATTATAACCCTCTGTACATTTACTTACAATATAACTGTATTTATCTGTGAAATGAATCTCTTATGGAGAGCATATATTTGAGTACTCACACATTTTAAAGCTGCTTTTAGTTGTATATAGTTTTTGAATGTTTAGTGACTTTACCCTTTTATCATTCTGTAATGCCTACCTTTATTCTCAATAACTGTCTATACTCTAAATCTACTTGGTCTGGTGTTAATACAGCCACTTCAGCTTTCTTTCAATAGTAAATCTTCTCTTTGTACTTTTACTTTACCTGGATCATTGTATTTGATGTAAAGTACTTGTAGGTAGCATAAAGTTGGTTAATATTTTATCCATTCAATCTTTCTTTAAATTTGTATGTTTAGGCTATTAACATGCTTGGGTTCATTATATGCTTCAATTCAGGTCTACTATTGTATTGTTTTCTCCTTTTTTTTATTACTCTGCTTTTTCTTTTGGATCACTTGAACATGTTTCTGTACTCCAAATGTCTGTTTTCAAGTATATTTCTTGGTATAGTTTTATTTTTTGTTTTTGTTTTGCTTTTAGGGTCTCCTTATGTAGTTCATAGTTCATGCTGGGCTTGGACTATGTAGCACAACCTGGTCTTGAACTTGGGGCAATCCTCCTGCCTCTCTATCCCAAGTGCTGGAATTACAGGTAGGGGTGCACAAATATACTGAACTTTTCAGACATTTAAAAAATTACTTTCCATTTCAAGAGTTATGTAGAAAGCACCATCATGGACAGTTTTCTCTCTTGCTTCATATTGTAGCTGTCTTAGACATTATGTTTACATACGTTGAAACAATATTTTCAAGTGTCAAACATTTTAAGAAAAGATCTTTTAAGTTTCCTTGTTATTATTCCCCTCTTTGCAGAATTTTTAATTCTTTTACAGTAGGTTTTATAGCAATAAATGAAGTTGGGTTTTCTTATTCACAGGATATCATTTTATCTTTATTCCCAAGGACATTTTTGCTAGATATAGGATTTTGGGTTGATAACTCCTTTAAAAAAATCTTTTAAATGTTGTGCCACTTCCTTCTGATGAGAAAAGTCATTTGAATTGCCCCGGGTAATTAGTTCTTTTCCCTCAATGCTTTCATGCTGAGCTTCTGAAATCTATTAGCTATACCATTCTCCAATCCGAAAAGTTTTTAGTTAAAATTACTTCAAATGCTTTTTATACACTGTACTTTTTCTCCTTTTAAGGGATTTATTGTATAAATGTAAACTGTTTAATGTTCATAAGTCCCCAAGATTCTGTTCATTTTTTCGTTAATTTTTTCCAGATATTTAGATTGAGTTCTAATTTGTCATCAAGTTCCTGGAATCTTTCATTTCTATTTTGCAGTATAACTCATCCACTGAGACTTTAATTCCAAGTACGTTTCAGTCAACTTTTCATTCATTTCTTTGATACGTCTTATAGTTGTGCTGAGACCACTTCTCCATTTGTTCTGTTTCCTTTCTTTGATCATTTTAATAATAGCTGCTTTAATGTCATTAGAGGTGAAATTCTGAGGCTTTTTGCCTTTTCTTTTCCAATTCAGATTTTCCTGATTTTTTTATACAGTACTTAGCAACATTGGATTATATGGAATATTATTTTTTGAGTCAGAATCCTATTTAAATTCTATGAGGTACTGATAATTTTTTATCAGGCTTTCAAGATGGTTGGTTTCAGGTCAATAGTTTCAACATACTTTGTGGGGATTCATTTTAATGATAGTTCTGCTTTGAAAACTCTTTTAGTCTTAGCTAGCTTGTAAGTGTGCCACCCACTGGCCAAACTGGAACTTGCATCATCCAATATATTGTTTACTTCTTAGTCTTTCTGGCCTCATATCCATGCTGAGGGCAATCCTAGGAGCCCATAAATTATTTTATGGTTTCTTTCTTTGACAATCTCTCTCTCTCAATCTCTGTCTGTCTGTCTGTCTCTCTCTCTCTTTGGTACCAGGGATCGAACTAGGGTCCTTGTGCTTGCGAGGCAGACGGCAGAACCACTGAGCCAAATCCCCGGCCCTTGACAATCTCTTTATGCCGATCTGGAAATTTTCAGTCCTGTGGGGTTTTCCTTTCTGTTCTTCCAACAAGTAAGCTAGAGTTTTCTATATCTTCTGCTTCACACTTTCTGAAAAGGAACTCTTATCTGCAGCCAAGCATTGGTCAGAGAAAACAAAAACATAACCATGTTTGTAAGTAAGAAAATATTTTAAGCTATAGTTACTCATGACAACATAACTTAAAAATGCAAATATATCTAATTGAATTGTTTCTACACTGTACTATATACATGTCAAAACTAGCACACTAGTTTTCATTTATCTCAACACATTGTTGGTAAAATTAATGGAGAAATCTGGAAGTCCAAGTCAGATGCTTCTGGACAATCTATATATTTGTTTATATTTTAAAAATTAACATGTTTGATCTGTCAAAATCTGCCAGTCTCTTGCCACCCATTTGAAGAAAAGCAAAGAAAAAAGCATTAGAAGGCAGACTAATGTTTTTCAATCTTTGGGGGTAGGGAGAGGAACGATTTCAAAGAACATTCCGTTTTAGGTATTTGCATCTAGTTTTTCAACTTGAATGTAATTATTTAAGAAGTAGTTTCAATATCTATTATTTCATTTTTAGAATAAACTTTAGTTTTGAGAAGTCATGTAGAAATAAGAGCACAGATTCTGAGACCAGATATTCTAGACTCTAAACTCAAGTTCTTCCATATATTTGCAGCATGACCTTAGGCATGTTACTTACTTAATCTTGCCTTCCTTTCAACCTTTATAACAAGTTCAGTAAACCTTTGTGGAAAAGGTCAGCCAGTAAATGTTTTACACTCTATGGGTCACGTATTGTCTCTTTAATACTTTTTTTTTAAATACAATACTTTAACCAAGTAAAATAATTACTATTTCTAGGGCCATACAAAAACAAGTTAGCTTGCTGACATCCAACCTATGTAAGAGAGACAAAACAGCATTTACTTCCTGGGGTTTATATGATGATTTAATGAATATGTAAACTATTTATAAAGTATAGGCATGTAATAAAAGCTATACAAATGTTTTTCACTATTACTGTATTTCTAATCAAATTTCATTTGCAAAACACTATCCCTGGATAACTTCTTGAATCAAGTGGTGACCTGAAATTCGATTTAATTTTTACTTCCTGGTTTATTCTAACTTGTGAAATAAGGAATTTAACACTGTATGTTGATGAAGGTGCTCGATGTGGTATTAAAATCCAGTGACCAGAAAAGTCAATAATAGTTCCAACCTAGGCCCTTGCAAAATGGAGCAGGAACATCCATACTGAGAAAGATTCAGTTAAACACAATAATCATTTCTCAAGTGCTACAGAAGTAAACAAACACATTATTCAGGTAAATTTCTACTATCAGTCATTTATTTTTAAATTAAGAAATAAGAGATAATAATCATTTATTCAGATGGTATGAACAATGACAGTTAAAACAAGATCATTATTTTCATGTACCAGAATTATAAGCAAGAAGAATTAGCCTTAAGTATTACAATGGACTGCAATGGCTGCCGAAATAGCTGATACTGGATTACTCTGGATAACTTTTAATTAGCCAAATATCAAAATTAACAAGTTAAAATTTTAACCCCTATGCAATAGAGGAGTAGGGTCTTTGGGAGGTAATCAGGTTATGAGTGAAGTCATGTGAGGGTATGATAGGATGAATGCCTCTAAAACAGGGACCCAGAGAATTCTCTCATCCTTTTTTCTACTCCACAAGGACAAAATGAGAAGATGGACCTCTTCTAGGAAGACAGTTTACACCAGAACCTGAAGATGCTGGCACCCTGATTTCAGACTTAAAGCCTCCAGAACTATAGATAAATTTCTTTTATAAACCACTCAGTCTACGGTACTTTGGTACAGCAGCCTTAATTAAGACAACTGTTCTCAAAAATAATAGCATATATTCATGGAATACAATACTAGTGGGCCAAAATTCTCAAATATAAAAAATCTTAATTAGGAGACAAATATAATTTTTGCAGATAGGCCATAAATGAAGAACAAAAACTCAGTTCTTTTGTGCTTTATACAGCATAGGCTGAATAGGGCCATACACAAATATTCAAATGCAAAATAAGTAAGAGTTGAGCATACTATAAGAGCTATATTCAAATGTATAGGTTAATGAATTAAACTTTATAACAGAGTGCAGTCTAAACAAAATACCTGCTTCACTTTTGAGACATTTAAATTATATAGTATGCCAAATACAAATGAAATTATAATCTCAATTTTGATACACTTACATGGCATCCTACTATTAAATTGCTCCTCAATTTGCTCCTTTACATGAAAATTATAGAGATAGTTATTTATAAACTATAAACTAGATTTTGGAGGTCATGGAAACAGGGAGAAGTCAGTCTACTCTTTCTTCTAAATATCTGCATAGGTGAGATACTAATTAACTTAGTATCAAAACAGCTTTAAGAGTTATTTTTAACAATCATTTACACCCAGAGTTAACAACCTGAAAACAAACCAAAGAAAGAGTAATTCCTGTCTCTTACCTTTCCATTACCATGCTCCCACTGTTTCAATTATGTCATTTATTTCTCTAGATACTTCTATATTTCTAATAACTATAATACTTCTGTATCTTGAATCATCCATTCTAAAGAGATTTCTTGATTCTGAATGCCAGCATCACCCTGCCTTGGAGCCAGCAGAGGCTGTGGACTGAAACTTCTTCAAACTGTGAGCCAAAATGATCCCCCCTTCCTTGAGTTGGGAGTGTCAGATATTTTGTCCCAGCCACAAAAAAAGCAATTAAGACCAGATAAAACCCTTAGGAGGTAGTTTCTCGTGGGAGGACAGTAGATCATTTTGGCTGTGCTAGTAAAGGGGACATTGTGACCCTAGTCCTTTTTCTTCTTCTCTTGCTTCTCAGCTACCATGAAGTGAGGAGCTTCCTACACAACATGCTCCTATCTCATAATAGCCTAAGAGCAATGGGCTGACCACAGACTGAAAACTCCAAAACTGTGAGGCAAAATAAACATTTTTATAAGGTGATTATCTCAGGTACTATTTTTTTTTGTACAGTAACAGGAAGCTAATACAAAGGCATTTTAAAGGAAAAAATAAGAAGTCAGTTATAATACTTATTAAAGTCAAACATTAATTCATTTTTGAAGATGCAATATTTTCTTTTAGTCAATAGAATTATGTAACGTGTATGAAAAGGTTCTCCAATTCTCCCTCATTATATTTTAAGCTCTGTGAAGATAAGGAATATCTATCGTGCATCACTAGTGCCTATGACTATGCATAATTTACAGTAGATATAGGCATGTTCAATGTACAATGAATAAATTCAGTTTAACTTAGTCTCAGACCATGTATAAATGCTGAACAGTAAGATACCAAACAGCATTAACAGCATTATTCTTTTCAGTATAAACAAAGCACACTAATTGGTACACTTTATTTTTTTATTTATAGTGACACATGGTAAAATTTTAATATATATTAATCACCTAAGGTCATTTATAAATATTTATAGTTTTCTTCACAAGCACAATTCATGCCAAAAAGTAGTACCATCATCTAAATTTGTAAAACAACTACAAAATTACATTAAACACAGTATAAATTATAATGGGAAATTGAGATGGCTTATGATACTTTAAAAATATTGTAATTACAACCAAATATAAACCTTTACCAAGAAGTTGTTAAATCTAGGGAGTCCTTTTGGGAAGATTTAGTTTTGATCTAATTAGTGGCTAAATTAGTATACCTGATGAACTCTGTTCTTAAAAAACTCATTTAGAATCCATAAATGCAAGCAGAATGTCATATTCTTGGATACATATACACATTTTAACAAATTTATTCATTCTGCCTTTGACATATTCATTGAATTCAAAACTGCTGAGATTTCCAGAAGCTATCTTTTCATGTCTTCGCACCTTGGATCTGATCTGATAATGAAATCAAATAAATATAATAAATCTCTACAGAAAAAAATTATTTCCAAAAGTAATCCAAAGTTATCATACCCAAAAAACAATGCTGACATAGATTCAGGAAAAAGGAATTCTCCACTACTGATATGAATGTAACGGACATCAGAATGGAGGTTCCTCATAAAGCTAAGAACCAAGCTATCACCTGATCTTGCTATAATATTTCTCAGTGCAGTACATTCCTGAAAGAATTAAAGCCAACATACTACAGAGATATTTGCATATCCATGTTTACTACAGCACAATTCATCATAGCTAAGTTATAAAACAGCATGTGGGCCCAACAACAGATAAATAAAGATATGATATATGTTAGAATATTATTTAGCCATAAAGGAGCATGAAATCATTTCATTTGCAGGTAAATGAATGGAACTGGAGAGCACTGTGTTAAGTGAAGTAAGCCAGACTCAGAAAGTCAAATGGCATTATGTTATCGCTCATCTGAAGAATCTGGGAAAAAAATTTAAAAAGAGAGGACATGCAAGTAAAAGACTATTAAGAGAAGAGGTACGTGATTAGGGGATGGAAGAAGATTAAAGTATGTTCTATAAGGAGGGAGCAGAAATTGAGAGAAGGAAGTGGTCAAAGTATGTTATATGCATGTATGAATATGCCAAGATGAAATGCATGATTCTGTATAATACACACTAATAAGATAATCTAACAAAAATGTATATAATCCTATGCATATAGTTTTAATTTTTATTGACTGCAAAGAATCAACTAGTTCTATACGGTTTGTATAAAAAAAGGCAACTTGCTTCATCTCTCCTTTCAGAAGCAACTACCTCCAAATCCATTTTAAATGATTAATTATATATCTAAATATACTTTTATTTCTGTATCAGTAATGTTATATGAAGTTTCAGTTTTCACATTCTCATGTGCTGACCTACAGTCCTTATTATACTTCTAATATTCTCATTCTTCTAACATAGTAATAGTCATTATCAACATGACTATTTAAATGTTATTCTCAACTAAGATAATTGGTATATTCAGGTTTTCTTCTCCTCTATTCCCTAGAGGTAATATTTATCCCACCATTCCCTATCAAATCCATCTGTTTATTTTTTTATTTTTGAGGGTAGTACTGGAGTTCAAATTCAGGACCTTGTGTTTGCAAAGCAGGCAGCAAATGCCACTGAGCTAAATGCCTGGCCCCATCTGCTTATTTTTTAATGTAGTTAACACTTTCACAGATTAAACCTTTATTATTATTATTATTATGAAGCGCATTACATAATCCATCATTTTCATCTTCTTGAAGAACTCTTCCCTAAAGTCTTATAACTCTCCAACCTACACCAGCTGTTCTCTAAGCCTGCCAGTTACACTTCCTTTTATCATTCTAGGATTTCTATTAGCATCCTGGAGATTAATTCTACCATTCTTTCGTGCTGCCTTTCCTGTTTCACGTTCTCTTACTTTTCTTTTAGGTTCATTCTCGTTCCAGAAGCATAATCTTCTTAGTGGCTACATTAGAAAAATGCATACATTCTTGGGATGTTGCACAGGTGATGATGTCTTGAATGTCAAAGTATATTGATATTTCTTAGGAATAATTCATTATTTTCTCCATGGACTTTTCAGGAATTGTCTGATGATATTGTAGCTTCCAGGTTGTTTCAGTTGAAAAGTCTGATGTTATTCTATTTCCTTATCCTTATATGTCTATGGAAACAAGCCAGTTCTCAACTAGAATCTGCCCTCATTTCTACATGACGTTTTCTAGTCCCTCTGCCCCTACCCCTGTCCACTTCAGGCAGATTCTCTCAATTACCATGGCTGAGTCTGTGCTTGATATAGTAGAGGAAGGGAAGAAGTGATGAGCTGGACCCAATGGCAGTGCTGAGATTTCCGAGGTCCCACTTGCTCAGGCTTCTCTCCAGGGAAGATGGGCACAGGGAAGGGAGGTGCAGACACCCAGTGAGGTTTGGTGCTGGGCTATTGCCTGAATGTTAATGACTTACTGCAGTCAGGTGACAGTCTGCAGTGCCTGTCCAGTGCCTGAATAAAGGCCAGCAGTCCCAACCTCATTGTGCACAAGCAGACAGAGCCCTCTGGAGGATGACACAGTCTTGGCCTGACCTGTTTCCCATGTGAGACTGCCCCAGGCTCATGAAGCCATGCTGGGCAGCCCGAGGGAGCAGAGGTCAATGCATCCCAGTGATGCAAAAGTCAGTCGACAGACAGATCCTGCTGGTTTTCTGTGGCTGGCTGATTTCTGAGATGAGCTGGCTTGTTGCGGAGTCTTCTGACTCCAGCATTGGATTTTACTAATGAAGCACCTTGATGTGGGAATACTTACATCCACTGCTCTCAAGAGGCTTTTCAACTGAAAACTCATCATTTAGTTCTGATACTCACTATTTTTTCATTTGCTAATCTCGTTTTTTTCTGTTCTCTCTAAATTTCTTATCTGAATATTGGGCCTTACAATCCTCTAGTTTCTTTTTACATTTTTCTATTCTTTGTGTTCTTGCCCTACTTCTGATAAACTACGTCTATCTAATTTTTATTGTTTTTCATTTTTACTATTCTGTTTTTATATACCAAGAACTCATTTTCATTTTGTTCCTTTGTAAGTTGTATCCTGGTCCTATTCATGAAAACACTTTCTCACCACTTTGAGGATACTTTCTTTAGTGAATTTTGAGATGTTTCCCCTACATGAATTCTACTTCCTCTTTTTATTATTTGTTTACATAATAATATTTTATGCTCTTTTCATTCTCAAAAGTCTGGTGATCTTTTGCCATTTGCTTGTACCTATGATTAAACACTAAGAAGGCAGATTGAAATTTGGAAATGCAAGTGAGGCTTGTCAAATGTGGTCTTCATTTTAATGTGTCTAGTTAAACCAATTCTTTCACAATTCCCAATACAAATACCTTTATGCTTTTCTCTGTTTGGCTAGTCTAATTCCTCACAGGTGATTCTACCTTCTGCCTCCCTCTAGTGTTTTCTGGGAGTAGTAGGATAACACAGAAGAGAATTGTAATATTCCACAAGAAAAATTTCAGTCATTTCTCATTTTCAGTTTAGCAGTAACACACACAGGCATGCTTGATTTTTCCCAATCAAAAGACATTCTATTTGTCTTTTTTGCAGAGAATAAAACTTCAGACTTTTGGCAAAAGAATATATAAAACTGTCTTTTCAGCTCTACCTTCATCCTTATTTTCAATTTCCACCAGTTTCTGGAGAGAATCTGCAACATAAATAAGGCTACATTCCAGTTTTTTCCAGCTGGCATAGAATTCATCTTTTGGAGGTCTGTTTAATCATTGAATATTCATCATATAAGCCAGCTTCTAAAATTTGGCTACCATTTGTACCACTTTCATTCCTTTACCCAGGTACATTAATGTCTTTTTAAAAAAGTTTTTTTACTATTAGTGTGACTTAGGAAGGGATAAAACTAGGTATATATGTTCAATCATTTACCTTTCATTGGAATATTCAAATGAATAATTTATAACAGTCTAATATTAAAATCTGGAAGTGGAGTAAGAGGATAGCTTAGTGGAGAGTATGTGCCTACAAGCATGGGTGAGTCCTTGAGGTTGAGCACTAGTACAATGAAAACAAAGCAAAATGAAACAACAAATACAATTTAAAATCTGGAAGCACTATTAATTTTTTCCACACATATAAAATGGTAAGATTAATGCTTCACTAGTTATTTGTGAGGATTTCTTTTTACAAAAGCTAATCTGAAGTTTCAAAGCCATAAACTTACTGCTCTGTTAACAGTTTCTATATATTCTTGTGGTTAAAAAAAAAAAAAAAAACTTCATAGGGCCGGGGATTTAGCTTAGTGGTTCTGGCGCCTGACTCGCAAGCGCAGGGACCCAAGTTCAATCCCTGGTGACAAAAAACAAAAAGCAAAAAAAACAAAACAAAACAAAACAAAACAAAAAAAAACAAAAATTCATAGTACACTCAAGGGTTCTGGTCTTTATGTATTTATACACATAAAATTATTGAGAATCTTTCCAAAAGAAAATAGAATCATAACACTGAATGTGTCATTAAATATCTCACAAATAAGTTTCTAATCTTAAAATAATAAAATTGGTCCAACATGAACCAGGAGCCTTCTTGTTTATAAGCCTAGAAAATTTCAAACTTCTAAAAGCATAATGAAAAGATGCAAGTTCAGAATATCTTGTATAGTAAGGTTTACACAAATCCCATTTGCTAGCAAGCAGAAGTTATACAGAGACTATTCTATATTTACTGTTACTTACTTTGCAAGATAAGTGTTTATCTTTTTTTCAAATACAGAGAGATAACTAGGAACATCAAAATGTAAATTTTATTATTATGTAAGAAATATGAATAATCTACTCAAAACCAAAGTGAAACACTTTTTATTTTTAAAAATCTATGTACTTAGTTTCTGACTCTTAAATAGAATGGTGAAGAAAGAGTAAATTTAACATTGATTGATTGCTTTCTTATGTTAGTTACTTTTACAGATAATAATCTGTACATCAATTTACAACATTTGATTTTTAATTTTACACATGAAGATTATCTTCAAAAGATAACAGAAGTTAGATAATAGGCAAAGAGGTTAATTAATACATAAAGTTAATAAGTAGTACTGAATTTACTGGACTTAAAAGCCCCAAGTCTTTCTATAATTATTTCATGCCTCTATAGAAAATAGGGATACTACTACTTACCTTGCAGAAGACTTGTAAAAGGAACATAAAGTAATGTGGCAACAAAGAACACAAAAATGTACTTCCAACAATGTGACTTTCTTACAAAGATTGGGAGGCAAGACAGAAGATGGTTCAAAAAAGTCAAAGAAACAAAAATTCACTACCAAGAAGACTTGGCTATTGAAACTGCTATGTTAGATCGTTACTGACACCCAGTGGCCTGATTTCAACAGCTAAAATAAAACCAGAAAAGGACCAAGGGGAAGACCAAAGAGCTACAATTTAAAATCGAGATAACCATCAATTTATTTTCAGTAAGTACTGTGCTCAGAATTAATTATTACGGATGACAGCAAAGTTTCCATCCCATGTTACATCTTCATTTGTGAGTAATGATAAGTACTTGTGAAATAAGAAATCAGAGCTGAAAATATGCTTTTGTTATTTTCTCCAGGATTTTCCTCTGCAGTCCATTAGTTTCTGGTGGGAATCCATCCTATAACCTTGACTACATCTTTCCAATAGTCTAAGAAAGTAAGCTGGTGGGTTCACGGAAAAAATCCTACGGGTTCTTCTAACCACTGGTGGTTCTCAATTAAATTTTACTTCATAATGGAATGTGACTAGAATGTTCTTTATAGTTTCATGGGAAATATCATGACTACAAAATATAAAAGACAGAAATACAATGGTCTGGATAGTTAACCAGAAGACCACAATGTATAGTAACATAACAATGTTTATGAAATGTATCTTTAGTATGGGCAGACAGGAAGGCAGGCTACTCCTACATAAAGCACAATAGTATGGTCTATGTATTCCACCTGTTAGTTCCAAAATGCAGATGAGAAAAAACTTGCAATACTAGGCATTAAAATGCTAGTATAGAAGAAATTTCAATTTCTGGCCATAAGATTACAATCAGAAATTTTGTCTTACAATTTACCCTTGTCTAGGGTAGGAAAATTTATAGTGGGAATGATCTTCTGTTGTTCTGCTTCAAACAGAAAACTTTTGGCCTGGCTAACGAGTTTCGAGACTAAGAACAACAAAATGTGGCTTCACTCACATTCATTGCATTATGTGAGTAAAGCTATTCTTGTAGCTAGTAGGTAATATAACTGTAGGGTAAATTATATATTTTATTCATTCCCTACTATAGTATGCATGTACCCACTATAACTATTTTGAATGAATATCAAACAGAACTGCAAATATATAAAACATAGAATACCAGTATTTATAATACTAAATATGTATATTAATCGATCATTTTCAAAGAGGAAGGGGATCAAGAGATGGAGGGAGGGGAGGGAAAGAGGGAAAAAGGATGAAAAAAAGGAATTAAGATAGATGTGTTATGTACATGTACCAACTCCACACAAGGAGTAAAAACATGTTCTCTAAACATGAAAAAGAAGAAGGAGAAGGAGAAGGAGGAGAAGGAAAAAGAAGAAGAAGAGGAGGAGGAGGAAGAGGGGGAGGAGGGGAGGAGGAAGAAAAGGGACCAAGAGATGGATAGAGAGGGGATAGAAGGAAAGGAAAGAGGATGAAAAAAACTAAGATATATACAAGTATCAATTCCCCACAAGGAATGTAAATGTTATATACTATGACCATGTACCAAAGAAAATGACCTGAAAAAAAGTTGTATACTGTGTATGTGTTATGTATTAATAAAGCTACATATGCAGCAATGAACAGCATGATTCTTAAAAGATATGTCATTGTATATGCCATTTAGACTTATTTTTAGTTATGGACAGTGAGGCCTAACATTCATTCTAAAATTCAAATGTCTGGCAACTACTAGATCAGATAGAAATTTGGTGCCATAAATTAAAATTATTTTCTATGTCTCACATACTCATAGAAAGGTGCAAGCATACTATCTAAATAAAACCTTTACAAAAAGATAATAAAGTAATAGAATCAGGTATTAGGTACTTACTATACGTTTTACCTGACAGTAGAAATAGATGGAAACAAGGAAAAAAGGGCAATGATATAATAAAAGTAAAATGTATGAAGGAAGTAATATGAATGGAGAAGAAACAACGGCCAAAGAAACACAATACTTTGAGATATACCTTGAAGCCAGTCTACTCCTTCTTGTAATCCTTCTCCTTTTATGGCATCGCTAGCACTGAAATATAATCCATAAAAAACAAATTCATTTTATTATGTCCAGCAGTATGGATAAGGAACAGTTTTGCCACATGAAATATTAATATATTTTAGTAGCATATATTTGAGCAAAACTAAGCTTTGAAACTGAATATATTTTCATAATATGTATAGGCAGTTTTAAAAGTATATTACTAAAATTATTACTCTGAAATAGAACTTACAATACATATATTTCACATTATTTTTACACTGTTGGAAAAGTCTTGCAGAATCACTATCCTACTTCATCTACTCTTGAAAGTGCAATAATATGTATTAATAAGAAACGCTTTAAAAAAAAAAAAGAAATGCTTTATATTGTGGGCTGGAATATAGCTCAGTGGTAGTAGAGCACTTGTATACCATGTGCAAGGCCCTGGGGTTTGATCTCTTGTACTTGAGAGAAAGCAAGCAAACAAGAAAGAAAGGAAAAGCAAGACAGGAGGGAGGGAAAAAGGAAGGAAGACAGAAACAAAGAGAGAGGGAGGAAGAGAAAAAAAAAGAAAAGAGAGATCTGATTTATTGACTTAGGTTCAAATATAGTCAGAGAATGGAGTGACTTCTTTATTTGAAGTAATTTTATATCCATAGGGTATAATCCCATAGTTATGACTTTGGTAAGCTGGTAGAATAAAATGAGAACTCAGTAGATTCCAGACATAGTTATATTAATTATTATATTTATTAGAACTTAGCTCCTTTGTCTTGGTTTGTTGTAAGAACTAGGTATTTCAGATATGCGTATAAAACACCCAAACCAGAATACTTTTGTTGTTTTTCATTCCTCACTTGATCTTAGCGAAAATGCCGAGAAACGATGTTGTTCTATTTCATTCTTTTTTTTTTTTTTTTTTTTTTTTTTTTAA